CTAATGGGCACTGCTAGCGTTTCAGTGTCTGGGTGCTACTATCTTGTTGAAGTAAAATAGCCATGATCACACTTGGATTAGGAACTGATACACACTGAAAGGGGCAAAGGGCAGCTAGTTGTCCAACTCTCACTGAAAGTCAGTAGAAATGGGCCACCAAACTCCTATTTGTACCTTTTGAAAATCTCCTCCTCTGTACATATTTGCATATAAATTATTTTATTTCAAATTAATTCGGGACATGGAACATGTATTCCCAATTTGAAACTCAAGGTCAGACATTTGGCCAATATCGGATATGAGGATTTAGCAACATTAGTGGCAGTAAAACAAACACAGCTAAATTTTCTTTGCCCTGAAGATGTATTTCTTAATATAACAATAGTAGTGCTCCCTTCCATGAAATTAGCATCACCGTGATTTTTTTCAGCAGCGGCTAAGCCCATGGCAATGCTGGTTTTCGATCTAATTTTTTTATGGAAGATATTATATGAGCAGCATTCTGCATACCCTGAGTTCGTTTTTTGCATTGCGCCTCTAAAATATCACGAAGCCTTTCAAAAATGACCATTTTAAAGATATCGCCACTAAACCAGCTTGAATACTATTGGCTAGATCCAAAGTCCATTAAAGTCAATGGGAGTTTTTTCACTGACATCTGTGAACCTGGGATCTATGTCTGGACCGTTTTATCAGTATTTGAACTTAGGAAGAACTGAGAAGTTCCAGAGGAATTTTTTTTTAATCTTGTTTTTCTTTATTGGTATTCTTAGCTGCCTTCCAAAGAGCTAAGGTAGATTGTAAATTCTTTGGGACATGGATCATGTATGCTTTCCTTTATGTACAGGGCCAAGCACAGCATCAGAACTTAAGTCAGTAAAACAATAATTAATAAAAGAAGCAAGCGGGACAAGATCAAGATAAATGGTCAGTTTTCACAATAGAGAGAGGTAAAAAGTGGTGACCCCCAGGGGTCGGTAGTGGGACCAGTCCTTTTCAACATATTCATAAATAATCTGGGAAAAGGGGTGAACAGTGAGATGGCAAAATTTGCAGATGATACAAAACTACTCAAGATAGTTAAGTCCCAGGCAGACTGTGAAGAGCTACAAAAAGATCTCTCAAAACTGGGTAACTGGGCAACAAAATGGCAGATGAAATTCAATGGTGATAAATGCAAAGTAATGCACATTGGAAAACATAATCCCAACTCTACATATAAAATGATGGGGTCTAAATTAGCTGTTACCACTCAAGAAAGAGATCTTGGAGTCTTTGTGGAGAGTTCTCTGAAAACATCCACTCAATGTGCAGCGGCAGTCAAAAAAGTAAACAGAATGTTGGGAATCGTTAAGAAAGAGAGAGATAATAAGACAGAAGATATCGTATTGCCTCTATATAAATCCATGGTATGCCCACATCTTGAATACTGCGTGCAGATGTAGTCGCCCTATCTCAAAAAGGATATACTGGACTAGGAAAAGGTACAGAAAAGGGCAACAAAAATGATTAGGGTATGGAACGGCTGCCGTATGAGAAGAGATTAATAAAACTGGGACTTTTCAGCTTGAAAAAGAGAGGACTAAGGGGGGATATGATAGAAGTCTAAAAATCATGACTGGTGTGGAGAAAATAAATAAGGAAGTGTTATTTGCTCCTTCTCATAATACAAGAACTAGGGGCCACCAAATGAAATTAATAGGCAGACGGTTTAAAACAAACAAAAGGAAGTATTTTTTTGCATAACACACAGTTAACCTGTGGGTCTCCTTGCCAGAGGATGTTGTGAAGGCCAAGATTATAATGGAGTTCAAAGAGAACTAGATAAATTCATGGAGGATAGGTCCATCAATGGCTATTAGCCAGGATGAGCAGGGATGGTATCCCTAGCCTCTGTTTGCCAGAAGCTGGGAATGGGCGACAGGGGATGGATCACTTGATGATTACTTGTTCTGTTCATTCCCTCTGGGGCACCTGGCATTGGCCACTGTCGGAAGACAGGATACTGGGCTAGATGGACCTTTGGTCTGACCCAGTATGGCTGTTCTTGAAAGTAAAGAGGGAGTTCCAAGGAGATTAGAGGCATACATGACCCCTGCAAAGAGGACAAGTGTGCAGAAAAGAAAGTATCAAATAATCCGTGTATTACGGAGAGAAACTATGCAAACATCTGCTACATTCAAGGTACAAACCATCGTCACTTCCCCAACTTGGAATATTATGGTATCTCCAGAATTCAGTATGTATACTTACATCCTTAAGACTTGGTGTATTCCTATCCATGTATGCTTTCTTGCCATCCTTATGCCATTATGTATGCAAATCAGGAAAACTGCAGTAGTTGGTAGTTGAGTTGATCCAAAAAAGGGGGAATTATGTGATTTTTTTTTTCAAAATTTCCACCCTTTTTCAGAATGTTGAAAATCTGAAATGTTAGAAGTCCGACAATCTTGCCCAGTTTTATAGCTACTTGAAAAACAGGGGCGAGGAAATCATGAAAAATTCATGCACACGGTCTTTATAATGTTAATGTTCTGTCAAAAATTTGAAAAATTTCAGCCACCTTATTTGCACCTGGCATCTACTCCTTGTTTTCCCAAAGTCTCCCCTCTTGCTTGAGAAAAGAAGGCTGATGGGGGAGGGGGGGGAGGGGACCAGTTACCATCCTCAACGTATTTGACGACTGTTGATCAATTGCTGCCCATGTTCACTGAAGGGAAGACAAAATGTAACAGGCTTAATCTGCACAAGGGAGATCTTGGTTCGATATTAGGAAAAACTTTCTAAGGACAGGGAGAGTTAAGCTCTGAAATAGGTTACCAAGAGCACTTATGGAATGCCCATCACTGGAGGTTTTTATGAATAGTTTAGACAAACAGCTGTTAAGGATAGTCTAGGTGTCCTGTGTCCTGTCTCACGACAGGGAGCTACATGTCTGTATTAATGATAAAGAGATGCATAAGTAGGGTGATGGTGTAGCAATATGAACACCTTATAACACTAAATCATCAGGTGTAGATCAGTCCGGCTACAATCTACCCCAGAGAAAGTCACCATCTTCATTATCCCCTGCAAACTTTTTTTTTACATTAATAATTATACAAACGTGTAATTAAGTATCTGAGTGGGCAAGCTCTCTTCTCCATAGACACCTCACAGTGTAATAATGACTCCATGAGACGCTGGTGACAAAGCTTTAAGAGTCGAGCACCTAGGCATTCTCATCAAGAACAAGTGACATGTCCTGTAGCGAGATGATGACTAAATCCTGCTGCTTTTCAAGGCAAATTCAGCGAAACTGCAGTTGAAGTGGCTGGGAGAGAGCCGAAAGCGGGATGTGAAGTCCCGGGCTGACGATTTGCGTCTGTGAAGCAGGAAAACACCAGATCAAATCTAAACTTTAGAAGGGGGGGGGGGGGACCCAGCCCAGGGTGTGGTCCCTTGTGAGTTTAGGTAATTTACAAAGAGGATCCTGGCTGTAAAGAACCCGATCGTTACAGCCCGGAAGCAGCTGGCGTTGTTTTGTTGACAGAGATCCGTTGTAATTTGGGGGGTTTCGTTTGCTGGGCGAGGTGTCGGCTTCCCCCACCCCAGGGATCTGTGTATAAAATGCTTGTGCAAAGGCAGAAGGCTCAGACGCAACCTTTGCTTTTTTTCCTCGGCGTGTGCAGCGCCGGAGACCCTGGGGGTGAAAAGCCGGGGGCTTCTGCTCGTGACTTGTTGAATGTCCAAGAAGAACCCTCTCTGGCAATTTCCTCTCCCTCTGACTAGTCTGGCCGGGGAGCTGGGTGTTTGCTAAGCACTGTTCCTCCAGCCAGCAGGCTTTCTACCCCCCTCTTCTGGAACGTGGTCACCAGAGTGAAGGTCTAACCACAGCCAGGAGACCAGCTCTCTCCCGGCTGATGGGATAGGGCGAGGGGGTCTCGCTTCCCCTTTGATGACCACGCCTCTCCCCACACGGATCAAAACCCCGCTGCGGTTTGTGCTTTGCACCCCCCAAGGACCCCAGTTAAGATAAATCGCCGTGTCCCACTGCGCCCGCAACTCCCCACCGCCCTCCTGCAGACTAGACCGCATGGTGCAGCGCTGGGAAAGCCCAGCCAGGGGGACAAGCGACAGCGCAGCTCGGCTTCCTTGGAAGAGTCAGGACCCGTCCAACCCCCAAAGCGGGGCCACCGCTGTCGCTCCAGAAGCACCCGCGACTCTGTGTCCCTATCCACCTCCTGGTACCTCCAGAAGAATCCGAATCAAATGACACGGGCCACCAGTGCCGTTCAGAAACGGTGCGCGGCTTGTCTTTCCACCCCCGCTTTGGGGGATGCAGAATTTGCTAGTAGCCTCCCCCCAAGCCCCCTCCCGAAATCCTGCCCTAGGAGCCCCGCTCCTCTTTTAACGCAAGGTTGGATTCCCGCTCGCTGCGATGGAGGCAGCTAGAGAACCGACCGGGAAAGTCCACCGGGGTCACTCCTGGTTGCAAGGACATGTGCCCAATTGCAAAGGACTTGAAAGTTGTGTGCGCGCGGAGAGGGGGCTGGCCGGTGCCTGTCGCCTCCTCTAACGAAGCTCTCCGGGCGCATAGCGTGCTGTTTTTGCAACGGATCCTACATAGGATCATGTCAAAGCCTGGGAGACACGTGGACGCGCGGCCATCTGATTAAATTCCCTTTTATCCATGCAGCTGTGCACGCATCTGTCCTATATCTGGATGCAAGTTTCATTGCAAGGAATAATGGAGCAAGCAATCCTAAAATAAAGGGGCGAGGGTGGGAAAGAAGCGGGAGGGTAACACAGCTCTAGTTCATTTGCTGTCTTGGCAGTGCCCTGCACAGAATTCATCCTGTGCAGCACAGCCCACTTCGGTTGCAGACAAGTGTGTAATAATCTAAACTAAACGGGACACATTGGGGGGGGGGGAAGGGTGGACTAGAAGCTAGTTAATTTCTTCCCTCGTCAATTGCCGCTCATGTAGCGTTTCTCTTAAGCCTAGCCCCCTCCCCTGTTACTTAAACTTCTTGCACCCTATGATGGCAGTCATTGGGGGAGGTGGGAGGCGGGATTGCAACCAACTATAATTGGCAAAGAAAATCTTGCAACGGCTGGAAAAGGTCATTGAAGGAGTTGGCTGCAAAAATATAATCTAAAAAGAGTGGCAGGCATGCGCAGTGCGAGGATGCCATATTGGAATGAGTCTGTAGTAAGTGAGAGAGAGAGAGAGACGGATCGCCTCTTCTGAACTGAGCTGAAGGGTCTTTGCCATTTTAGACACTGGGGGGGAAAAACTTCACCCAGGTAAGGCAGCGCGCCAGGCGTATTTCCTTAAGTGGCCGAAGCTTTCATCTGCCTGGGGCGATCGTGTTTGCGCCGCTGGGGTGGACAGGGGAGCTTTATGTTCAGGTTTATTAAAAGGCGGAGGGAAAAAAAAAAAGAGCTTGGACAGAGGGTGGGAAAAAAAAAGGCTGGCGTGTTTTGCTTAAAAATGTAAGCGAGCAAGTTGTTGCAAAGTGGTTGGCTCTGCATGTCCGTGGCAGCGCTTGACTATACAGATCTAGAGACTCGATTCTAGATACCTGCACTCAGGGTGGCTTTTTTTTTTTTAAAGAGTGTGATTGCCTTTCTTTTGCAATGCATTGGAGAGTTGTCGTGGGCAGGCTTTGCGATGCATGTGCCATTCATCGCATGTAGTTTTGGGGGGAGATTGCGGGTGGTTTTTTTTTCTTTTGGAGCGTGCCACATTTTAGAGACATGCATCCCCTCTCTCTTGTTTTAAAGTAATATCCTGTCATTTGCTGCTTTCCTGATATAAGCTCATGTGACCTCCTTTCGAATTTACTAGACGGCTGTATCTCTTGAGAGAGTTATTTTGTGTGTGTGTGGTGGGGGGGTGTTTTTAAATCGGCAGAAAATACAACATGTGTGTATTTTTTTTAAAGCTTGAAAGAGGATGAGATGCCAAATTCCCAGCCCTGATGCATATACATTTTTCTATAGAGCTAGAGAACTGCGGTAAATGAATATTTATAAAGCTTGTCAGTTTCAACATGGCGGGTTAAGGTACCTTTAAAAACTGAAAATAAACATTTAGAGATGGGGAGGGGGGAATAAAACTTGGGGTGCTGCATGTTTGGTTCAACTCTGCTTTGTTGCCCAGGGAGGTGCTTTAGTGAATTCCATGGGAAATGGAAGAGTGGGGATCATGCCCCAGTTTTTTCCACTGGCAGACTTATTGGTGTGAAAAGTACATCACACAAGGCAGAGCAACCGAAGTGTGTGTGGGGTGTGTGTGTGTGTGAGAGAGAGAGAGAGAGAGAGAGAAAGAGCGCTCGGGAGAAACCATCAAAAGGGGACCTGGACTCTGGCACCAAATGAGGTTGCTTTAAATGCCCCAAACCGCAGACAGGTTATGAAAAATAAATGCGGAGAGACACAACAATAATTTATTTTACATTAAAACGAGGCGAGTCCTAGGATGAGACATTCTTTTGGAGCGCCTGGTATCTCCGCTGCCAAGCCTTTTCGGATCAGTTAGATGCAGTGAACCGGTGATGTTTTTCTGTTTTTGTTTAAAAAATAATAATAATAGAGGGTGAAAAAGCTCTCTACCTCTAGCTGCGTGGAGATTTGTCCTGCAAAACAGGCTGTTTAATCCTTTATCATCAGAGGACGAGGCACGTTGCAATACAAATTCTCTTTGCCCAGGGAGCCTTTAAAAAGCAAGGAGCAAAACGTGAACCTGTCGTCTACAGAGCATGCAAATCCGAGACTTTGGAGGGGGGCAGAGAAGTGGTTTGGCGGAAGGAGTTCCTAATTTGAAATGCATTTCCAGGAGGACAGGGGGAGTGGAGGGGGCAGGCTGGTTGAAATACCAGATAAACTTCCTTGTTTCAGTTCAGGCAATGTTTTTTGGTTACTGTTGTTTGATGATCAACTTTTTTTTTCGGCCAACCGTCTGCGGCGTGGTTGAGGCCACTGGGGGAAAGGAAAGCAGAACCACAAGTGTGAACCTCCCCCTATCCGCGTGGACACTAGTGAGAAGCGATCATCTTTTTAAGAGCGGGGCGGGGTGGGGAGGAGAGAGAACTGGGGGTCTAATTTTGCTCTATGCCTTAGAGATGCGATTTGCAAACCACGATGCTTGCTAGCAGGACAGCACCCGTGATTAATGGGAGACGGTGTCTTCTGTACTGCGACGCCAACAGAGGTCGCCTTTTGCAAACCACTGCTTCTCCCCCCGGCCCGCTCCCGCGTCCACACAAGTTTTGCTTCGACTCCCAGAGTTGGGGACCAGGCGATCTGGACCCGGCGATCTCTGGCCAACTTCACTGGCGCGGCGTTGCGGGCTGTTGTCCAGTGAAACAGCTGCTGGATGAAGGGTGCCCAGGGGAGGCGCCGCCGGAATGAATCCACTCCGGTTTGGACGGCGTGGAAAGAGATCGAGGCATTGACAAGCCCCCCAGCCCGGCCCGATGCTGCGGCTTTGAAGATCTGCCCTTCCCAATCCGCTTTGCCTCCGTGTGGCACCCTGGAAACGCCTGTGAGCGGCGAGAGCTGGCAGCTCCGCAGAAAAGCAACTCCCCCCCCCCCCCGACGGTGTCTCTTGATAAACGAGCTAAGAGCAAGCCGGGAGGGAGGTCTGTGCGGGATCGCAGATCACCCAGGACAGTGCGGGTCTCCCTTCCCCTTTGGCTTCAGAGAATCCCACCAAAGACTCTAAAACCGGCCTAAAATGGCTCGTTCCTTGCAAACTGCGAATTCAGAGGGGACCACCTCCCTTGGACTCACGTGGCTCATGACACGTTTGAGAATTAACTCTAAATCCCCGAGACTGCGATCTATAGAAGATCGCAGCCTGGGGGGATTTCGAGTTTTATGTATCTATATTGTGTCGTGGATGCAACTGGACCGTGCAAGGAGATTCAGTGATCGCAGCCGAGGTGTAGCCCCCTGAGTGTGTGTGTTGTGTAGGAGGAGGAAAGGACTGAGCCTGGAGGCATTACAAGCTCCAGACCCTGCCTGCACCGACCGATCTGCCTTTCAAGCTGAGTCTTCTGTGCAAAATCCATCTCTTTCTGCTGAGGCAATAAAGAAACACATCAAGAGGTTCTTCATTTAAAGGGACCGCTTCCCCCCCAAACATTGCATGGTGCTTTATGCTTTGGATAGAGGATGAGCTTTGCTTGGCTACTGGTTCAGTTCCCTCAGCTAATGGGTTCCCAAGAGAGAAGGGGGGCGGGAGGGAGATCTCGGAAGTATTTCTTGGGACTGTGAGAGCCTCACACATTCTTCCTTGCAAGGATAAGCTCTGAACTGGGATGCTGGAGAGAGAGAGGGAGGAAGGGAGGGAATTGCCTTCAGTGGTAATTGGATTGGAAGAAAAAGTGTAAGACTTTTCTTTAAGATTTAATTTCTCCTGAAATGTCCTTGCCCTTTATCTGAGCTCTCCTCTTATTCCATTTGGTTAGAATAAACGTGCTCATGCAAATTCTCTCTCTGTTGCATTTTGCCTGCTTGCAGCTTTAGGTTCTGAAAGCGTCCCCAAGTGGGCGTGGGGGAAATACCTGCAGGTGCCTGTGTTCTTCTGTTCTAGTGCAGTAGATGGTAACCGTGAAACACACTGTCAGTGTATCGTTTCCTCCATCTAGTCCAGGGGTTCTCCGTCTTTTGTACTGGTGACCCCTTTCCACAGCAAGCCTCTGAGTGCGACCCCCCCCCTTATACATTAAAAACACTTGTTTATATATTTAACACCATTATAAATGCTGGAGCAAAGCAGGGTTGGGGTGGAGGCTGACAGCTCGTGACCCTTCCATGTAATAACCTCCCGACCCTTAGTTTGAGAACCCCTGATCTAGTCAAAATGTTGTTTGACAGCCTCATGAGTTACTTCCTGACAAGTATCCTGCTGGGTGGATAGATACAGAGGCGCAGGTACCACTTGCTAAGGTAAAACGCCCATTGATTTGTTTGGGAGCTTTGTCTGAGTAAGGACTGCAGAATAGAGGGCCTCACTATGGTGTGATATGCTCTTTGATCCTGTCCATATGAACACACACACACACCCCGCCCCCCCATGCTGACCCCTATTGTGGGTTTGTGTTTGTTCTGTACGTTGCCTTTCAGTTTTCTAGCCTCGGATGTGAGGTTTATTAGGTCTGTGTCCATCACGCCCTATTGTACTCCAAGACACTGACAAGGGGGTGGGAGGGGAACAGAAGTGCAACACCACAAATGTCTGTATGGAGATTGTCAGGCTGCAGGTGGGTTCTTGGGAGGTTTACTGCAGAGAGGAGCAAAATGAAATATAGAGCCGAGGCAATGGCACTCTAATGACCCAGGTGGCTCTAGCAAACATTCATATAAAGCTGATCTCTTTTCACCTAAAGGAGGCAGAGCGCTGATGCCAACTCCCTTAAGCAGCAAAGAGAAATAGATTATAGGGTGACTTTTTTTATAAGCAGCTGTGGACATCTGTATAATGTGATCGTTATTAACTAACCCATCTTTATCGAGCAGAAGCTAAGATACAGTGAGCAAACAGAATCAAGTAGCATTTTTATCCTATCTTGGCAATTGTCACCTCTGCATTAGGCAAAGAGAGCTTGAATATAATAGGGTTAGAGGAGGATTCTCTGTTTCTGTTCAGGGGATGTCTTTGTTGCTGTTGTTTGTTTGCTTCACTGTGGTTTGCTTTCTATAGGTGAATGAATTGGGATGCTGCTCAGATGAACAGGAATGTGGGTAGTTATACGATCAGTGATGCCAAGGGTTGGCCATCCTTAAGAGTGAGATTTACAGCTCCAGAGAGTGAGATTCAAGGCTAAAGAGTGAGACTTTCTCATCTTTGTTCCTTGGTGACATCCAATAGTCCAGGTTTTTAATCCAACCAGCATTTAATAGTTTGTTTTAAAATGTACACTGCTTAATACTGCATATGAAACTCTTAAATATCCTAATTCATACTAAAGTCTAGGGCATGTGAGAATTCTACATGCAATGCAAACAAGTGGATTTTACTAAAAATGATTTGCTAGTTGGAACAAAAACCTGGATGGTTGGAGATCCCTAAGGACCAGAGATAATAACCACTTGTTGAGGCACACAGTCAGCGGACAGGACAAGAGAAATATTCAAAAATAAACTTGTCATATAAACCTAAAAAAGAAAACTGTTTTATCAATATAACAATATGTTTGGTTTGCATATCATCTTGTCATAGTGATCATCCATTTGAAAAATACAGTACAAATATTTGGTTTGTATATTATTGCTCATATTACATTTACAGCAAACTA